TACAGGCGGCCCAGGCTGCGCCGTGGCGGCGGCGCCCGGTACCCGCGCCCCGGAAGCGCCACCGGAACCGGCGGCGCGACCGGTACCGCGCGCGGCAGCGCCGCACGGCCCAGCAGCGCCCGCAGCAAGGGCGCCGCCATCTTGCTGCGGGGAAGCCGGTGCCGGAAGCGCCTGCGACAGAAGTAGGTGAGGCTGCCCCCGAGCTGTGTGCAGAGCGGGCGGAAGCTAGCTGAAGGGAGGGCGGAAGTGGGTGAAGTCTAAACGGAAGTGAACTGAGGCGCGGGCGGAAGCGGATGAAGCCTGGACGGTACGACCTGATGCGCGGGCGGAAGCAAATGTAGCCTAGGCGGAAGCGAGGTGAAGCGCGGGCGGAAACGGGTGAAGCCTGGGCGGATGCGTGCTGAAGCGCGGGCGGAAGCGGATGTAGTCTAGGCGGAAGCGGGCTGAGGCGCGGGCGGAAGTGGGGCGCTGACGCCGTGGCGGGGATATGGGAGGTTTGGAGGGACGGGCGGGGCCCTGGATGGGTGGGACGTGGGAGGGGCTTGGGGATACGGGGAGGCACCATGGGGGCAACGCGGGGGGTTCCCCAAAAGGGGGGGGTCCAAGAGACACCCCCGCTCCCCGCAGCGCCGCCCGGGGCGGGGCGCTACCGTAAACCCCTCAACGCGGCCCCGCCCTCGTGCGGGGGAGGGGCTCGGCGCAGCTCCCCTCCCCTGCCCCCCCCTCCAATTTTTTTTTTTTTTCAAACGCAGCCAAAACCCCGCGGATTTTGGCTAAAGGCTGCGCGGCCTCGTCCTGCCCGGAGGGGGTGGGGGGCGCCCGGACGCCTGGGCCCACGGCCCGTAGGGCCCCGTGGGGGTGGGGGCCACCCCGACATCTGGGTCCAGTCCCCGATGGGGGCCCCATTGGGATGGGGGGGCGCCCGGACGCCTGGGCCCGCGCCCCGCCCCCCTCCTGGCGCGGCCGTGGGGCGGCCGGGGGGGAGCGGAGCCCTAATGGCTTCCAGGCCTCGGCGAGAAACCGCGGCCGAGAGTGCCAAAATCCCCTGAATTCGCCCCAAACCTCCCCGTCTGCCCCCCCTGCTGGAGGCGCCACGGGCCGGAGGGGGGCCCAGGCATCCGGGGCCTCCCAGCCCCCTCTCCAACCCCTCCCTGTCCCTGCAGGGCCCCAGCGTCCGGCTGCCCCCCCGACCCCCCCACAGGTGGGTCCAGGCATCCAGACAGGGGGAGCCCCCCTGCCTCTCGCAGGGGAGAGATGCCATTTTGGGCTCATTTGGCCCCGTTTTGGGGCCTCTTTTTGCTGCCTCTTTTGTTCTCCCCTCCAGCCAAGTTTCTCCCCC